TACAAGCAAAGAAATTCAGGAAGTTTGCACTTTTCTCGAGCTACTTGAGTCCCTTGTGGGCCAAGGGGGGGGGGGGGAGGCCCAGCTCCAACCAACCAGCAGCCCCACTGAAGGATAACAGAGACAGACTGATAACACAACCCAACAGAAGAGTTGTTTTTCCTGTTTTTGTGTGGGTTTTCTGAAGGGTTACATAGACAACCTTATCAATTGCTTTTAGGCAAAAGAAATACAAAAATTTGTACTCTCTCTGCAATCCCCAAACTGATTCAATAAAAACCCCAGGCGGTTCTGTAGGTCTTTCCTTTCTTTAATCCAGCTAGTTCATTTGGACAATGGGAGGCAATGATTTAGAACAGACTTCTCCGATCCGCTGCTTCTGAGAAGTGTTGGATCTGAAGTCTCATAATCTCAAGCAACACAAGGCCAGTAGGATTGGGTTATGGGAGAGTTGAAGTCCAACGCATCTGGAGGGTGGCTCTAGTGGGGTTGAAAAGCTAGCAGTTCCCATTTCCTGACTTTCTCACGTGTGGCTCTGGGCAAGTCACATAACTCTCCCGTGAGTCAGAAGGAGGTGACCTTATCTAACCACCCGGGCAGAAAGAAGTCATTCTACCTGCCCCTTGGCAACCTGCCCCATTATGTAAGTGTGGAGTTCAGCCCTGAGAATGTTTACCTCCCATGAGGATCCAGCCATGCCAGAACAGTCCTGATCGACTGTGTAGTTCTGCAAGAATAGATCTCTTTTGGATGGCTACACCTCACTCCTTTGGGAAAGACAAAGGCTGATGTGGGAAGAAAATGGGGCAAAGTGGGCAGCATTGCATCATGCTTGGGAGGGGATGGTGCTTTCTCCCTCCCCACCCCCATGTTTAGGGAGAAAAACCTGGACATTATTATTCATTCAAAAATCAATTTGCCTCAAAATGACAGAAAGCTTTGCCACTGATTTTTGGCAATTGAAGGAGACACTAGGGAATATAAAAAAAATAGAGGCCATCTGCAGCCCTAGGGACCTAGGTTGACCACCCCTGGTTTAAGTTATATGGACTCCGTGATGGGACCCCAAATGGCAGGGCCAAAGAGAGGCATTATTGGACATATATGGATACCCATACTTCACTGGGGAGGGCAGCACTGTCATTCCCTGAGTCCCTGGTCCTGCTGCTCCTATGTCTTGCTTCATTGTCTGTTTGCCCATCTTCTCTAAGCAGGCAGGCAGAATCACAATGAAGGGGTAAAGCTACCTCTCCCTTTGCTCTTCCCTCCCGGCAGCTCTTGGGATTGTCCCCCAGATGAGAACAAGTGAATGGGCAGCAACTGGCAGCAGCAAGAAGGCTTTGGGCATTCCCGAAAGATGGCCATATGTTTACAGAGGACAGTCTATAACAGTTCTCTTGGCAGAACTGTTGGAGGGCAAATGTCTGCCTGAAGGCCTCCTTTGTTTCTCAGTTCTCAGCCAGCCAAGCCAATTTAGTGAGGGAAGAATGGTGAACCCACCCTATGACATTTGTCAATTGACTCTTTTCCCCGACATGATTCCAAGCTGTCATGAAACACAGAGAGAGGAGCTTTCCACTATAGGGACCAGCTCATGGATAAGCAGTCATGGGTGTGAACACACATCCGTGCATTCCATCATTTATATACATAACAGTGGTGTTTCCAAAGGCAAAAACAATCATTACACCATTAAACAATTAATTGTCTTAGTCATCATCCTTTTGGAAAACCAAAATCCATTTCTCAGATCACCCATCCCATCCACCTGCCAGGACAGGCCCAGTTTAAACAGAGGAATCTACCAAAAATGGAGTCAGAGGTCAAGGACAAACATTTCTGCAGCACAGATGGATAAGACATTCCTGCCAGGACCCATCCTTCTACAGTGTCTGATAGTGATATGCCCCGGAGTGCTGTTTATAAAGTTCTACTGCATTTTCTTTGCCAGTTCTCAGTCAAGTTGGGGAAAGAGAATAGTTTCCAAAGACAAAGAGAATTGAGTGCAATTCTGATAGCTGGAACATAGTATTCTTGAATTTATTTAGCAATGAGGTACCCAAGTATTGAGTGAGTAAGTCTTATCTTCCACTAAACAGTCATGCTACCATTCAACCCCAAGAGAAGACATCCGTAACTCCCTCTGGGGGACATTTTCCGGCTGGGCAGTAGCGGTAGAGTAGAAAGTTTCAGAGTTATGGAAAGCAGTGTGTTAGAAAAAGCCACACCAGCAGTCTGGGGTCTGCAAGGATATGGTCAAAGAATTCAAGATGGCAGCCACAATGGTACAATCAAAGCTCCCATTGTTTTTTACATGCACCATGGGCAGGACTTCCATAGCACCGCTGAGGCTGCCATCTTGATTCTTTTGACCATACCCTGCAGACACACCCAGGTCTATCACCTCCAGTGGTAAAGCCAGCCCAAAAACACCACCCTGAGCAATTGGAAAGAAATTCTCCAGCGTCCTGAGAAGAAGGTAGAAAAACAAAAACCTGGAGGGAAGACAACTCATATTAAATTGCAAGCTGGATTTGGCCAGAGCATGAACTGAAACGGTCCTCTGCCGATCCTTTACAAGGAACGCACCCTACGTCTCTCCAAGTCCTTAAGGCTGTGGGTGCAGAAGCCATGAAGAAAGCCCTCTCCATGCAGCCAAAATGGGCCATCCCAAGGGACATTTCCAAAGAGCGCGAACACACTCTGCTCCCCAGGGGATGGATTCTTTTCCTTCAAGCATGCTTCATCCTCAGGCTGCGGCTCAAAAAATGGTTGGCCTTCTAAAAATATTTAAGAGGAGAAGATCTGTTAAATACAGCCCGGGTTACTTCCAAATGAGCGTGCTTAGCTGCACGAGCCAACTGCCAAGGCCCTCGTAAGTCAGTCAGTGCAAAGCAACTACAGTTGAAACAGAAGGAGCCCGATGTGTTTATATTTCAGTGTACTAAATGTTTATCAGCTAAGTTAAATTTTAATAAACCGATGAGGGGTAAATAAGTGGCAGGTGCCTGCTTCCCAGGACATTTTGTTCTCACTGGCCAGAAGGCTGGAAGAGAGCTTACTTCTTCTTGGAATGAAAATGAAAAGAAGCCTTTTGCATGCATGCTTTTATTTGCACAGATAAAAAGAGGGAAAGCATTAGAGTGGTTTACCTTCACAACAAGAAAGGGGAAAAAAAATCAGAATATTCCAACAAGTGGAACTCAACCCTTGTGCCTTTTCTAAACCAGCAGTTGTGATTTTAATTGGGAGAGTTGGAGGAGGGATCCCTTCAAAACTTCTAACTTAACACTGTACTTCACCCTTTATTTCCTTTGTGTTCATGGTGTGCAATATATTCAATTCTCTCTATAGACCGGTTTCAATGCTCTTTTACAAATAGCACCCTCAGGGAACCTGGTTGCATGACAACGGCATGAGGTCACCATTTCTCACCTCCCCGGGATTTATATTTATAGATTATTTTCTGGCCCATGTGGCTACCTCCCCCCCATTTTCCAACCCCATCCTCACTTCTAGTATGTTTTGCCTTTGTTTGTGTTCAGTGCTGAGACCAGATTGTGGCATCTGCTTCCCCTACTTCTGGGGCTGGTGTAAATTTAATTATTTTTTAGAATTATACCTGCCACTATCCGAAGAGTGTGAGCTGTTCTTGACAGCCATCAAAACTATAATAAAACACCCACAAAAGTACACTAAAACATTCATAATATATATGATAAAATAAATAATAAAATAAAATAACCCAGGGCATCATGTCATCTTCCATAGGTTCTCTGAAACAATTCCATGTTTAAATGCTTATGGAAAGCCAACAATGGGTAAGGGGATCCATGGGGTGGGTGAAAAAGTCAAATGATGGCCATGCCCACAATTGAAGCCCCATCTTTTTTTTAAATATATATTGTAGACACCATCTTGACTTTTTGACCTTCCCAATGGATGCCCTTGAATGAGGAGGCCAATTTGATTTCCAGCAGAAGGCTGTTCTGTAGCACAGGTATCCCTGCTGAGAAGCAGCAGAGAAGCGCTCCCCCCAGTGTCCCACCCAAGTGAAGGACATTTTTGGCTTGACTGAGATTTGGTTGCATTCAATGTTAACCCAACAAGATTGATTGGATCTGACAAACTGAATGCCCACTGGTTGCTATGGTCCATTCTGTATATAATTCAGTCTGCATCAAAGGTGTCCCTCAAATACCTAACACATTTATGACATTACTTGTCCATAGCCCTCAGTTTGGGAATCAACAAACAACAATGCTCTGAGCAAAGCCTCATTCTGTTTACATGGCATAGTGATACTTGTTTTCTGATGAGTTTCCATAATAGTGGCAGGATCTATTCCCCAAGTAGTAACAGCCATTACAGCCTAACGATCCAGGCTCACTACACAGTGTATTTTTATCCAATGTGTTCCATTTCATTATCACTGAGCCTGCCTTTAAAGTGCATTGCATTTAAAATTTAAAATTCAGAATTGCATTGCACAAATCCCCCCCCCTTTTTTTCTTTTGTTAGTTTTCCTGAGGTCCATGGAGCTCAGGTCAAATTTATTTTGCTTCACAAGGACATCCCAAGTGAAATTCAGCAGTGAATGAAGGGCATCTCTCACCTGAAGACTGTGGTAGAAATGAGATTCTTTGTAGTTTCAAGAGCCAGTTCCCCATGCTGATCAGAAAGTCCAACATGTTCAAGCAGACCTTTGCAATTTCCCCAAGGATGTCATAGGGTGATCTCAGACTGACTGTAGTGTAGAAGAAGTTCAGTTATAGATGCCAATATGACACCAGCAACAATCTACACTGGGGAAGACTCTCCATGTCACGTCCTTTTTTGCTTTAGCTTTTTTTTAAGCATAGGAAAGTAGAACAAAAGGGTTGTCTCTGCTCCAAGGTACAGATCCCTATGTATTGGTTGCAATAACCAGGGGGTGGTCTATCTTCAGTTTTTCTTTCCTTCGACAAAACAGTTTCCCCTTTTCTCCGTCAGTCGAAGAATGATGGAGAATGTCTTTAGAATATGTGCACGTGGCTTCCACAGGCATCCTTCCTGGGAACTAGTGACCAGGGAAATTCTTGATTGGATCCTCATTCTTTAAAAGGAACATTTGTCCTAGAGTTGGTCCCCCATTTGTAGCTCGTTGATTGTGCTGCAAAAAGAGAAAAAACGGCTTCAGATGTTATCACCTCTTTGAACCACTTTGAAAGAACAGTGTTCTCCAGTCCAAAATGTCCAGAGAAATGGTTGGGATATCTGTATCATCCTTCCCTACCTTGCTTCCCTACAAATCAGTGTTTCTCAACCTTGGCAACTTCAAGATGTGTGGACTTCAACTCCCAGAATTCTTGAAGTTGCCAAGGTTGACTTCAACTCCCACACATCTTGAAGTTGCCAAGGTTGAGAAACGCTGCTCCAAATGTTTTCAGTTACAACTCTCCTGAGCCCCAGACAACATGACCAAGAGTCAAGGATGATGGGAATTGCAATCCAAAATGTCCAGGGGACAAGAAGTTAGAGAAGGATGGCCTAGGTTGTAGCCAAACCAAAGAGCCTTCTTGTACTTAAAAAAAACAAACTAACCAAAGACATAAATTATCCTTTCCAGATATGACACAAATTGGTTCCTAGCTGGCATAACCGATGGGGATTGCTGAAAGTTGACATGCAGTTTTGTTGGGGGCGGGGGGGGGAGGATAATATCCCTTGGATGCAGTGTATTATAATTTATATCCTCATTAGCTTGGTGGATTGCTAACAAGGAAGTTACAGGACAGATAAGGATCCCAAAATGAGAATTCAATTAGACCTTAAATATATATAAAGTAAGTATCCCAATCCTTGATAGTTGATCACACAATTAGTTCAACAATACTGAGTTAATTAGCATCTGCAGTTACACAAGACCCTACTTATTCATATGCAGCACCCTTAATAATGGGAGATCAGTGATTTCTTCTACAGTGACCATCCTTAATTTTCCTCCAGAAGTTCCAGTCATTTGGGCCTAAATAGTGATAACGATTCCCTATCCCTTGTGACAATTGTTAATTAATTCAGCATAATTGAATGTTGTCATTACTGACAATTTAGAGAGTTAATACTGAACTTTTTTTTCCTGTGTTTTCAAGGTCTAACTCAGTGTTTTTCAAACTTGGCAACTTGAAGAGGTACGGACTTCAACTCCCAGAATTTTGCTGGCTGGGGAATTCTGGGATTTGAAGTCCACACTTTTTAAAGTTAACAAGGTTGAGAAACACTGCTCTAATGTATTCCAGTATTTCATTCTCATCATAAAGGGTGTCCTCATCTTCTCCGAGATCTAAACTACACAGCAAAACATGTTTTCTGCCCCAGGACAAGGTTCTGAAAACCTCTCTGTGCACAAGCAGCACGCTCCGGAAGGTCAAATCCTGTGAACCAGCAACAGGGGAAAGTTATGAGCTTCTTATCCTGCCTGGGAGTGTCCAAGAGATCCTCCAACACAGTTTCTCAACCTTGGCAACTTGAAGATGTGTGGACTTCAACTCCCAGAATTCCCCAGGTAGCCAAGGCTGAGAAACACTGCTCCAACATCTCTGCCCATTGATTATGGTGGTTCAGGCTGGAAGATGTTCAAGAACAGCTGCAAGACAGCAAATTCCTCATTCTCCAGGTGAGGCAGAACTTTGGTCTAATCTAGAAGGCCTTTCTTTTTAAAAGCGAGCTTTACAAATGATTTGATACATTTAATTTTTGTAATAGTCTGGCTTTTAGGCTGGCTCCTCTATTATGGCAGCGTACTAGGTATCAGATTGAAAATGGTAATATAAGAAAACCTTTTTTTAAAAAAGCAACTATGAAACCAATACAGTAAAGAATATAGACAGTTCCATCAATGATGATTGGCTGTCAACCCAACAAAACTTCAATGTGCAGGGGCAAGTGTACCTCTGAAAACCAGATGCTGAGGTCTAGCAACATAGTGAACTGTTGTCCTGCTTGCAGGCTTCCCTCAGAAATATCCGGTTGCCCAGTGCTGGAAACATGATCCCGGACTCGATGCTGCTTTGATCCAGCAAGATTCTTTTAGTAGGAATAAGAATAGGAAAAAAAGGGCTGTGTGAACTTTCTCTAAAAAAAAAAAAAAAACGGGGGAAAGTATTAAAAGAAAATTCCTATGTGCAAGAAAAAAAAAAATCCTCTGTACGTGTGCTTGTGCACCTGAGGCGATCCCCCGTGGAAGGCAACCTGCCTGAGATGCTCAAGCCAACGAGGTTCCCTAAACAAACTCCCATTATCTTCCTGGACAAATGGAAGTTCGCCTCTATTGGTACAAATGGAATATTCGGAGAACAAGGAAAACAGGGCGCGGTGGGTCCCCCGCAACTGGGATGTTAGGGGCACCTGCCACCGCCTCGCCAGTTAGAGGATGATGGGCGCTGTAAACCAACCCCCCGCGAGGACGCGGGGTGGAAGAAGGGGGTGCGGTGGGGAG